GCACACATGCTAATCCTTACACTTGCTTACTTGTACACTTTCAAACTCGTACACTTGCTAATCCTTACACTTGCTAATCCTTACACTTGCTTACTTGTACACTTGCTAACTCGTAAACTTGCCAACTCGTATATTTGCTAACTCGCACACTTGCTGACTCGTACACTTCCTTACTCGTACACTTACAAACTCGCACACTTGCTAACTCGCACACTTGCTAACTCGCACACTTGCTAACTCGCACACTTGCTACCTCGCACACTTACTAACTCGCACACTTACTAACTCGCACACTTACTGATGGGAAAATCGCATTCTTGTGCTTAAAATTTCCTTGGAAAGTCCTGGAATTATGTAGTGAAGATGTTGCACGAACCCCGTAGTAAGAGAATGACCAGATTTTCAGTTCGGTTTTTCTAATATTTTGTTTGATTGTTTTTTCTTCATTTAGGAGGTATCTKCAGAATGCCTGCAACTACTGGTCTAAACAAGGAAAACTGAACGCCACTCTCATTAAGAGCCTATCATCACATATCAACARCAGTAACAACAAGGTATAAAGTGGAACCTCTATTAAMCGACCCCCTATTTAACGGCCACCCTCCATTAAGCGGTCACCGAACAGTTTCCCGAAASTCGGATGTCATGTATATCTTCTGTARACTTGACCTCTATTAAACGGTCAACCTCTATTGTACGGTCACTTGGTTTTTCCCCGGACTGACCGCTTAATAGAGCTTTAAATAAATTAAAAATAAATAAATAAATCAACTTTGTTTTAAGAGGGTAAACACGTGCCAGTAAAGAACTGATGAACTTGTGGCCCTCTATACTCTCACACTCACTACCTCTACATTAAGTATTTTAGCACACAACACTCCTTACATGTTGATTTTTGCCGAGGGAGGAAAACCGGAGGACCCGGAGAAAAACCCTCGTGGCAAGGGAGAGAACAACACATCAAACAAACTCAAAGTCACATATGGTCCGTGCCCGGGAATCGAACCCGGACCACATCGGTGAGAGGACAGCAGTTTAACTGTACTCCATTTTCAAGTTCAAAGCGGATAACCGCTGTTTCATATGATAACAGATTCTCTTGCGCAAACCTTACCAGAAACAACAACAAAAAAAAACACGAGAAAATTTTGTAAATACAATAGTCCTAGCAGTTTGCATTTTCTCCGAGTTGAGGCTAACCTGCAAGACACCAGTGAAGTTTACTATATAGGGTCTGGTCGACGGCTGTGACATTTCGCGCCATTTTTGAAAGTCGTGAATGAATGCATTCAAATTTCCACTGTTTTTGGGCATCGTTTTCCGATGTAGACATACTATGACGTCATAATGAAATAGGGCAATTAAAGGTGCGTCCAAGAACCTTTTGTTTTACAATGTTCCCTCAGTTACTTTCTGATTGGTTCAAAATCAAAGATTACAAATTTTCGTATGTGAGAAAAATGCAGAAATGTTCTTGGGCTTTAAAGAGCAACTTGGATGAAAAATAGCGAAATACTTGAAAGGGCACGAAATTCTTTTAGACTTATCAATAAGGGTCGACGTATTTTCACAAGATATTCGATACAATTTCTTGGGAATTTTGTCAAAAGATTTTGGAGTATATGACGTCATGTGCTCCATCCYTTTRTTCKTTCTTCGTTTGAGGAAAAATTTCCTCTACTTTYGGATGACTGCGTATCAAAAACKTTTTTTATGAGAAGGTATAATAGATATAAATGAGTCGTATAAATGAATTGAGATTCCATGAGATGGTTGTAGGCAAAAGTTGTGCTCGCAAGGTACGGCGGTTGGTTGCGATTCTTTAATATTTAGTTTTTCTGTTTCTGTTTTKAATTATTAGGCAGCTTGGTTGCTGTTGTCATTGATGGCCACTGCATCAGTCAAGATAGATCACACCATTGTACTTGATAAATGGAAACAGTATACATCACAAAAAGGTTGGTAAGGGACTGGGTAGAAAGGACCCTGGGYGGTTGAGATAGGGTGGTATTGGAGGGGGAGGGTGGGGTTTGTTATTAAAAAACATATTATTCGGTCTGCATTTTTTGCGGAGTTTTGGAGGTTATACAGTCATGTGTCCGTCTATGCACCCCCCAGATCTGGACGATGGCAGGGCCTGATCCAGGGGGTACATAGACAAACACAGAATGTAAATATGACCCCCCTGCCCCACTCCATCACCATTTATATATCATTATTTTATTATTGTTTTAGATTGTGATGCCGAAACTCTGTGCTGGGTGTTGTCTGTCATAGGAAGCGTTAGCGACAAGCTTCCTGAAAACATGGTCGTGTCTTTAACTGGTTAGTTTGATTTAAGAATAAATCTCCGTTGTTGATCTAGAAGAAACCTTGTTGGGGGCCAAATTGTGCGACGCAATTTGTGTCATTTGAGGGGCTCTTCCACCAGACACGTGTGGTCTACAACTTGATAACAGAATCCTACAACAAATCATAGCCATGTTGCGGACATTCGATGTGTAATGTGGGGTTAATGAAGATTTCCAGAGTTTGTGTGAAAAGTCTTGGAATTGAAAACTTGAAAATCTCCTTGAAGATAGGGGTGAAAAAACAACAACAATGCTCCTTGAATCTGTTGCATTTCTTAGTTATAAAAAAATCGTCCAAAAACATCAAACGCAGAACTAAAAAATAGCCATCGAAACTGAATTTTTTCGTCTGAAAAGTGCTTTTAAAATCCTGGAATTTTGTGACAAAAGTATAGCACAAACAATGTTTTTTGTAACAGAGGAGCTGCAAAGAAAGTTGAGTGGATTCAATGACACACCAGACGTCATTGCTGCTATTATTGGGACTCTTTGTAAGGTATGTAATTCATAGATTAAGAGCTATAGGCGAATAATTTGTTTACATTTCGGTTCATTAGCATAAACATATATAACGTTTTAACCTAACTATCAGTAAATCAGCACTGAATATTGAAACAACACGGCAAGCTTTCCTCGCAATTTTGAGCTATCCATATGAAATACTTTTTGCGTCAAACGGTTTTAAAAACTCCAATTTTTAGAGAGATTGTATGAGCTAATTAGCGCTTTTGCCACTCAGCTTCTTTGAACGCTAATATCTCATAAACTAGGGCATGTAAAGAAATCAAACTTTCGTAGTTTATAGTTCTTTATTAGTTTTTTTACATTAGGAACTTATTTTACAGTTTTTCAATTTAAACTTTATGCTAATTACCAAAATTTTGTAAAGATCCACTTACATTTTCACTTTTTATACTTTAACTCTTAGTTATGGATTTTACGATTTTCACATAATTCCACTGCTTCCTTAGCGAAGCTGTGGAATTATGTGAACATCCATAAGCTCCCTCAAGGTCCCTTTTCTGCCTTGAAATCATGCCATCTGATTACCTGTGTTTTTTAGCTTTGCAGATCACAACCCCAAGCAAAGGTAAGTTGAATAATTATGCACAATGTGGGGCGACGCCATTTTGTATAACAAAGCATGATGGAAGTTAGAAATAAAAACGACGCGCGTGTTTCTGCCATCTTATATAAACACGCTGGGAGTTGAAAAACGCGAGAGAAGCAAGCTTAGAAACATGAGCTAAGCGAGTGTTTTTCTTGCTTCTCGAGTGCTTTTCAACTCCCAGCGTGTTTATATCAGAGGACAACGACACAGGCGGCCGTTTTATAGTTCTTTTACAAAAAAAATATGCGTTTTTCGAGCGAAAAACAAATTTTTCCAGTAAGCCGTGTCTCTGTCCTCTGATATAAACACGGTCGTCAGCCAATCAGAGCGCGCGTTTATACATCTAAGATTTTATAAAACCTTTTAAAAATCTTCGTAAAATTTGTTTTTATGCTTTCTTTGTAGAAATCGCTAAGTATACATTGTACTTTCATTACTGCAAAGAAAATGCAACAACAATTTAAGTGGAATATTTT